CGTCACTGACATTTCATCTGAACTACTTGATGCTACAATTCTGCCTTAATCTGTTAAAATTTACATCATTTTTATTTTTGATGCTGTTTTAACTTGGTAATTAAGTCAAGAGAAAATGACAAACTGAATTGTGATTGGTTGGATAACAAAATACTAATTTATACCCAACTGTCCTATCTACTACCGCAATCGTATGGAAGACTGCCATTAGCTATTACTGAGTCATTGTTGTTCTTAAAGTCTGCAAGGTATTTTGTCAGTTTTGCCTTGGAGAGAAGGAAATAACTTTGCATCTGTTACTAATAGCTTTCTAATGCTAATTAAGTAGCTCTTTCAGGAATTAGTATGGAGACAATGGGTTGCGTGGCCTTCTGTAAAATTCTAAGTAAAATGTGAAAACCATGTTACAAGAATTGCAATGTAGATGCACCAAAATGCCAAATATGGCTATTATGATTTGTAACTCCAAAAAGGTCAAAATAGGAAAATGCAGAATCATGTTCCCATAACACTGACACAAAATGTGCCTTATTATCAAAACTAGTAGCATACATTGGGCTGCATCTCGGAGTGTTTTTTTCCCCCCCAAATCACCAAGTTAGTATCAGTTTTTCGCAACAGATAATTATCAAAAAGGAACTGGGTTGAGTTGGTCAAAAGCTATTTCACTTGTCCAGCAGATTTTTTTTTTTTAGTCCCTTGTGGGATGTAGTCTTTGCTGGCTGGCCAGCATTCATTACCTGTCCCTCGTTGCCTTTGAGATTGAAGGGACACTCATTAATGTGGGCTGAACATGAAAAGTCAGGTTACAATTCCATGCCAATTCACCTTTTGCAGTTAATGTTTATTGCCTAAAAGCATGTCCCTTGAAATACTTCATAAAGGGCCATATAAATTTATAACAGTAAAGGACACTGCCATGCTTTTACATTTTCTTTTTTTAAATAAAAATAAGGTTACCTGCCCTCCATTTTACATTGTTAAAAGTTTCCATGCTCCATTCACCAAGAATTCACTGTAAATCTCTCCTCACTTCCTTACTGGTGGCTTTAATTGATGAAGCATTATCACTGACTCAATAACCAAAGTAGCCACAATTCATGTTTGATATTGCTAAAATAAGGGATGGGTTCTTGTTGCTTTTTATATTGCATTCAACATGACAAGCACAAGAATGTGAAAGATCCAACAGAAGCAATAATTTTTACCACATGAGAAAAGGCTGATGGCTTTGGATGTTGCTGTGGAGATTGCACTGGGAGCTTTTGTCCCACATGCTTTGACTCAATTTTGAAAAGTGGTTTGTCATTTTTTTGCCTGATGATAACATGATAAGCTTCAACACGATGTCACTTTTTTTTTCCAGCAATAGTCAATTTCTGTACTACTGACTACTTTATGTTTACCTTTATTAAACTTTCACAATATTATAATCCTCACTGCTACAGTGGAAATAGTCATAATAGCTAGAATCCTTTCTCATGATGAGAATTTTTCATATGTGGATGAAAAAGATGATTGGAGAAAAACTTTGGTGTTTCTGCTTCTCACTTAAATGTGCACAAGACTGTAGTACAGCTCACGGCCTCAGAGGGGCAGTCTGATATTGAAGATGTAGAACATCATCGATAATTTTGAGGCGCCATGTCTTTATAAACTTAATGCAAAGTCAGATTTTAGTAGGGAAAGTGGGTGATAGTAGTTTTTAGAATTTTTCAAAAGAAAATTTGGAATAAATTTAAACACCTTTTTCCATGAAGGTACTTCAAATTATTGAGATTTTAATGGTCACATTTTTTTTGTTTAATCTGATTAAATCTTGTTAAATGTAAAAGATTGAATTTTATTTAATTAATTTAGTAGCACAGCTTTGTATTGATCAATTAAAACAAAATTAGTTTGACCTTATCCAGTGTTAATAACTACATGATGTTCAAAACCCTCAGCTGCAACTACACTGGAACAGAATGTGTTTATCATTAATGATTCAGAATTGTAGTGGACTATCCAGAATGAGTTTGAGCAAGTAAGAAATGCCTGTGCTTTTTAGTGGTATGTAATTGTAAGATGACCAAAATGGTATCATTATTTTATCTGGGTTATATTTACATTGTAACAGGGAATGATATTTGTGATCTTTTCTATTCTTAAGTGTGCACAGATCATATTAAGTTTGCACTATTCAAATAGTTGTGAACTAGATTTGCAATGCAAAGTTGTCTTCCACAATAGTCAGCTAAATGCATGCATTGACTTCAGCCAAAGAGCCTAAATGTGAGCTAATATTTGTTGATTGCGAATTCCATACTTTGCAGGTTGGAAAGTGGTCGTCTTTTTAAAAAGAAAACCTCTATTGCTTATTCACTATAATATTGCATCTGAATAGTAGAAGTGATTTTTTATTTACAGTAGCATAATTTGGATAATATATGCATGGTAAAACAAATAATGACAGCTCTGATTTTAATCATTTTAATTGCATGTAGGAGATTTGTCATATGTGGAAAAGTATACTTTAAAACTGGTTTTGTCAATAGGTATATGTAGTTGCTATATAAATATGTTCAAACTGTTTTAAGCAATGCAGGTCAGCCCCCACAATTGCTGTAAAATAAGAGTATTCACAGTACTGAGTCCATATATGAATGTTGTGTTTATTCTAGCAGTTAGCAGTGTACGCATGTGAATATTACATGCATTATGAAAGGTTAGTAACAAAAAACAAATATAAAATCCATGACTCTCAACCAGAAAAGCTAACCTAAGCGAGGAATATTGGATGCAGTGTGAGCGTGATCAGAATGAAAATGTTAAACAGCAGGGGAACAAAGAGTTGAAGAACTGGTTTCTTGCGGGGAGTGGGGTGGAGAACTCCTGTTGGAGTAACTAGAATGTGGTATGTTTACTTGGCTGTGCAATCTTATTTAAAGTAAACTTGAACGTGTGATATTGAAGTAAATGCCAGCAGTACTTCAAAATGGCTATGCCCTTAGCCACCCTGTTTCAGTACAACTACAACATTGGCATCTACCTGGCAATTTGGAAAATTACCCAAATATGTCCTTTAGACACAAAAGGCAAATCCACCCTGGCCAATTACTGCCGCATCAGTCTATCTTGATTAGTAGTTAAGTAGTATAGTAGGGGGTCATCATCAACAGTGCTATCAATCATCAAGTCATCACTGTGGGAGTTCCTCAGGATATTGTCCTATGCCCAACCATTTTCATCTGTTTCAGCAATGACCTTCTTCCATCATAATGTTAGAAGTTGGGATGTTTGATAATTGTGCGAAGTCTAGCACTGTTTGCGATTCCTTATACTGAAGCAGTCCATTGTCCAAATGCAGCAAGACGCATGCCCATTGACGATATCCAGGCTTGTCACGACAAGTGCCAAGTGATATTGTGCCAGGCAATGTCCGAGCGATGCTATTTCCATCAAAACTATTTCCATTTGTCCAAACACCATTTCCGCCACCTCCAGCAAGATGCCACCACCAGACACACATTCCCCTCCCCTCCCTTATCCACCTTCCGCAGGGACTGTTCCCTCCGGGACACCCTGGTCCACACTTCCTTCACCCCCAGCAGCCCCCACAGCCCTACGGCACCTTCCCCTGTAACCGGCGAAGGTGCAACACCTGCCCATTTACCTCCTCCCTCCCCACTATCCAAGGGCCCAAACATACCTTCCAGGTGAACCAACACTTCACTTGCAGTTCCAAGATTCTAGTCTGCTGCATTCGCTGCTCACAATGTGGTCTTCTCTACATTGGGGAAACGAAGCACAGACTTGGCGACCGCTTCGCAGAACATCTACGTTCTGCTCGCAAAAAAGACCCTGAACTACCTGTTGCCTGCCACTTCAATGCATCACCTTGCTCCCTGGCCAACATCTCTGTCTCTGGCTCGCTACAGTGTTCCAGTGAAGCCCAACGCAAGCTGGAGGAACAACACCTCATTTTCCGCTTGGGGACCCTACAGCCCTCCGGACTCAATATTGAGTTCAATAATTTTAGAGCCTAAAGTCTCCCATGTCCCTGCCCCCCACCCCACACACCAGGCCTTGTTACCACATAGCCTGCCACTACACACCCCCTGTTAGTCACTAACAGTCCCCATTAACAACTGTTCACCCTCCCAGCCTGATTGTTAGCAATTCCTTTGTCTGTCCAACTGTCTTTCTCTCTCTTTGGGCTCTATCTTATCATTTACTCCCTATCCCACCCACCTCCCTATTTTCTGCATATAAACTGACGTTTTCCCAGCCACCATCAGTTCTGAGGAAGGGTCACCGGACCCGAAAGGTTAACTCTGTTTTCTCCTCCACAGATGCTGCCAGACCTGCTGAGCTTTTCCAGCAACTTTGTTTTTGTTCCTGATTTACAGCATCCGCAGTTCTTTTGGTTTCCATTGGTCCTTGACTTACAATGGCATTGCTACTGCTAGTTCTCCCACTATTAACATCCCAGTGGTAAACATTGACCAGAAACTGAACTGGACTACAACAGCATGTCAGAGGCTTGGAATTCTGCAGCAAATAGCTTACCATCTCATTCCGCAGAACTTGCCCACCATCAGCAAGGCACAAATGACGAGAGTAATGGAAAACTCTGTTTGCCTGAATGAGTGCTGCTCCTACAACACTCCAAGCTTGACATCATCCTGCACAAAGTAGCCCACTTGATTGGCACCATACCCACAAACATTTTCATATTTATCAAATATTTTTGTAATTTAATTTACTTGTATAGTTTACTGAAACAAAATACAAAAGGGGCTTGCAATTAACTTGAATCTACTAGACACATTGTCAATACACTAATGTATTAGAAAATGCATTTCATTACCTGTTTTTGCACACTATGGTACGCCATTTCTGAAGAAGGATCCTGACCCAAAACGTCAGCTTTCCTGCTGCTCTGATGCTGCCTGGCCTGCTGTGTTCCTCCAGCTCCACACTGTTATCTCTAACTCCAGCATCGGCAGTTCTTACTATCTCGTGGTATGCAATATCTTTTTCTTTTCCCACAAATGTTCCCAACAAACGTTATGAGTACTTTAAGAACAGTAAGTACATGCTAGTTGTATAGATAAATGTGGAGCATATTGTGAGTTGGTAACATCTGTCAGCTATTGATCCCATTACATATCCTTTATTATAGAAGCATTTATTTATATTGGCAATGTAATTCTATGTCTTCAGCATAATTCTTGGTGCCTGGTATTTTGGATATTAAATTTTACTGCAGCTTTAACAAGATGTTTAATACAGGTTTTGGAGTGATTAAGAATCAAATTTTAATTAAAAGCAAAAATTCTGTGAATGCTGGAAATCTGAAAGAAAAGCAAGTGCTGGAGAAACTCAGTAGGTCTGGCAGCATCTGTGGAGAGAAACAAAGCTGTTTCAAGTTTGATATGATTCTTCAGAGCAGATTTATTGCTTCAGGTGATTAATTGCTGTTTCCAGTGTATTTGGGCAACTATTTGGAAACATATTTCCTGTTGTTTAATCTTTCCCATGGGGGAAGGAGGTGGGTTTTGATGAATTTAGGTGCTACAGGTTCCAATGTTTGAACAATGCAGCAACCAAATAGATACATGCAACTTTATCAGTAAATTATAGAAAATGACATGAAATATTATCAGTTAACATTTTTTTTTTTAAACTAAAACTTAAAAACTTGTGTCCAAAACCTGGATTTTGCACTCTGGAATTTCTTTCTTTCTTAAATTCCTAATCCTATCACCATTATATTTTGGATCAAACTTTTTGTCACATCCTTATCCTTTTCTGGCCAAATCTTTGTTACCCATACATCGTCTGTGAAGTGCCTGAATATTTTTAGGTGAAAGATACTATATAAAAGGAAATATTCTTTTAGATGAAAACAAAGTTAGTTCAAAACAAAAAAAAGTGCAGTTCTGTTTATTTGATATACTAGACTTGTAAAATTATAGCTACTTTGTTGTGGTTAGTTCATACTAGTAAACTTACTTGTATCTTTATTCTGCTTATTAGCAGTAGTTAGAGCGAACTAACCTATTTATATCAACTTGTATTTAGTTCTATTTAAGTTTATTTATAATTTATAACATCTTTTGATTTTGAGACAGTGAGCAGTTTACAGAAGTATAGTGCAGTGTACCTACTAACTATGACAAATTACTATATTTAATGAATGCCAAATAACATTAGAAAAATTATTTTTCTACAGAACAATGTGCATATGGGTCTATACATCAGTAGAATTCAGGAGTATCAAAATATTACTGTCTAAAGCTTCTGTCATTGGGTCAGAGGTTGAAGTCCAACAATTTTTAACAGTATGTGCAGTTTGGCTGTTACAAAGTCTTTTTAATCTAATAAGCTGATCATAAATATCACTATGTATAAATTACAATTCATTTGTGATACACAAGTACAGTAATGCTGAAAATATGAAACTTGCTACCAAAGTTTTTCATTTTCCACGCATAAGGATAGACCAGAATACCAAATTTCAAAAGGAACAGCAACTTGTACTGCATGAGAGACCAGGTTGGCTGGTAAGCAGACTCTGGTTGAGGCTGTGCCATGGAAAATGCATGGAATCCCTATAGTGTGGAAGCAGGCTATTTGGCCCATTAAGTCGACTCTCACCCTGTGAAGAGCATCCCACCCAGATCCACCCCCTTAACCTTTTCCTGTAACCCTGCATTTCCCATGGTTAATCCACCTAGCCTGCACATCCCTGGACACTATGGGCAATTTAGCATGGCCAGTCCACCTAACCTGTGCATCTTTGGACTGTGGGTGGAAACCCATGCAGACATGGGGAGAATGTGCAAACTCGGCACAGTTGCCTGAGGATGGAATTGAACTCTGGTTCCCTGGTGCTGTGAGGTAGCAGTGCTAACCACTGAGCCACGTGCTGCTTATTGAGCAAAACATGCCGGGGGCTTGAGAGTCAACTCAACGTTTTTGAATTTAAACAAAAGCTTTGACATAACTTCCAGGTGCAATCTCCTTGACAATACCTTGACCAATTAGAATCCACTTTGCAACCAATCAGGTTTCTGTTCTCATGTAGTAGAAACTATTGTTCTTTTTGAAATCTGGTATTCTTGAATCAGCCCTGATGAATCAAGGACACAAAGCTTCAACAGCATGTCTCTGGCAGTTAGCACTTCGGTATACCATGTGACTTGATATTTGTAACTTATCAAAGTTATAATTTGTGAGTTCAATTCAAATATCCCAAAAATGCTGTTCTGGTTAAATATTTGAAAATAGAACCAGAAATATCCTTGGCAGTAATTTGGAATTGATGAGCTAATGTCTTACGTGGTTCTGATCCATTCAGATGTTATAACAACTACTCTTTTTACAATACAAACCATAAAATTCACTGCTTTTCTAGTTTCCTGCAACCTCTATAAATCTAGAGCAATCTTATTTTCTAGATCAGACTGTACTGAAGCCCGATTCTTCTGCAGACCCAAGAGTATCTAAATACTATAGTCAACATAAATATTCAGCATGCACTCAGCATTATGGCATCATTTTGGGGGCATTTAAAATTGTGTGCTGTCAACTGCTGTTCTTGCTCAATGGCAATTCTGTCACCTCTATGAATCTGAGGTACTAATTCAGGCATAGTCTTTCAGAACTACTCATTTGGTAAAACGTTTGCTGCTGTTTGACTTTTATGAATGTAAGATAACTTTTTAATTAATTATCTAGGATGACCTACAAGACTGGATGAATTTGCTTACAATTTTCTCTAGTCAAATGATGCAGATGTTGGAAGTAAAAGTAAACAGGATTGAGACAGATTTTCACATATGATATGTCAATAACACTTCCATCTTAAGTTTATATAATTCTAAAAGTCCATGAAAGATGTATACCTGGGTTATTTGCACTTCATTATAGTGTACTATATATCCATTTTTGAAATGGGGCACTGCATTTCACTTTGAAGCCATAATTCTCGACCCTTTTTTTGTGCATTAATATGATTATGTAACTTAAGCATTACCTCTAAAGGTCATATTCACATTCAGGAAAAATATATTAAGATGCAGGTATCAGAATGGTATTTCTCAGGATCTCTCATCAAACTGTTGGTTATAGAGATAATTGTTAAGTCCATACATACATAATATACAACTTGTGTATTCTTTCAATGTTACATATCTAGTGGTGCATGTTATTTATGCCAAGTGACTTGGTGAAAATGAGAAAGACGGTTTCAATTGTGCTTTAAATTGCCGTGTCACTTTGCCTAAAGTAGACCTCAACTATTATTAAGAGTATGAGCATTATCAGTATAAGGTGTTTACAAATGACTGCTGCTACAAGTACTCGTATGATGTTTATGCTATTAGTTGGAGAAAATAAACATGAATATTACTGTGTCCATCTTTTCTCACTCCTGAATATAAGGTCATTATAATTATACTTTTTCAAAATAAATTGAATACAATAAGTGAGCTGATTTTTGTTTTTGTGTGTGCCCGTGTATTGTATACAGTTTGCCATGATAGTGGAAATTTGACTTTTTTTGTTTTAAAATGAGGGATAGGTCATGACCACCAATGACCTAACATATAGTCTCAGCTTTCTGATCATCTGTTTAATCTCTCCTGAGTTTAAAGTGAATTTTAGCCATCTCCAATTCATGTTGTGGACACTATTATATGTTGGGATTAAAACTTCTTAATCACTCACAGCATTAACTGCTGTAAGGAGGAAATAAAAAATCTGATCTGAGTTACCTTCCTTTGCCAACTAGTCATAACTAGAATTTTTAAGCAGGTAGCAAGAAGCATGGTTTCAAGACTGCTACAGTTTTTGTAAATTATCAATGTGATTAGTCTAGCTGCTGCAACAAGTCAAGCAATATTAAAGATCAAGTGAAATCCTTAAATTTTTCAGAACAATACTTATTTTAAAATGGAAGCTGTTTTGAAGTAATGCTGGATAAACATCTTCTCAAGTCACATCATCACTGAAATCTCCTGTTTGTAATGGGCATGCCTCTGATATTTTCCATTTACGTTATGTTGTGGCAATAATATATGCTAGGACTTAGGCTGAAATTGTCAATTCAACATATTAACCTTGCAGATATCACCAAGTAAAGTCTTGGTGATCTCTAATCCAACAAAGACTTGGTGACAATACACTAATAAGCTGACCCATGGACTATAATGCCAACTGTCATATTCCAAAGTTAATTGTTGGCTATCTGTAATTTTAGGCTGCACAAGTCAAATAGTTAATTGTTTTATGTTTATATAAATGGCCAGTTTAACTACTAAAAAATTATGGGGCCAACAGGATATCCAATTTTACATTTCTTCCTTTTACAGCCTTCTGATTTGAATATTAGATACAGTTGTGAGAAAATAAGTCTTTCAAAACTGCTGCCATTCTCCTTTGGCATGGTTAAAAGCTCTTTTTTGAGGGACATTACTATTTTTCTTCACCATCTGTATACTTTTCCACCACTAATAGACTCCACTCCTTTCTGCTTTTCACCTTTGTTTTGCCACTCAACTTGCAATGGGGACATATGAAAATGTTCAAACAATTCTCTAGGTTGACTTTTGTATGAACAACAATGACCATTATGTATTGAAGAGAGAGAATTGCAACTAAACCAGAACTCAACGTGTGAAGTGCAGCTGTCTGAGAAAAGCAGATTCTTTAAGGATACAGAGATTAAACCACGCAGGACTGATATTTGATGAGCTGATCGTTTTTGAAAGAGAAGAATGTTACGAATAATCACGATCACCCCTTTGTAAGTATACCTGTTGGATGCATTCAGGGAAAAGTCTATATTCTTTCAGATGCAGAACAAATTGAGTAGTCTGTGTCCCTCTTCATTGGAACTTTTATCAGGAATGATGTAG